CCCTACCCTTGGAGTAGAAAGGAGGCCAGTCTCCTTTCATTGCGTTGGGTTTGGCCATGCAGTGCGCCCGCCCCGCGCTTGCCCCGCCACGCCCGGCGCGCGCCGATCGTTTTAACGTTTTACAACCGCGGGCGACGCGGGCCGCGCGTCGTCGCGCCTCGCCGTCGTTTTGCTTGAGAAACGCGCGCGAGACACAAACTGGCTGGGAAATTTATAGGCGAACGGCGACGCGCGCTCTTCTCCGCGGAGGACAGCCGGAGGGAGTGGGACGCGCGGGTGTCAGGCTGGAGCCGGCGCCAGCTGCCCCGACCGGCGTCTCTGTGCGCTGACAGCTTGACAGCAGTCTTGGCAGTGCTTTTGACAGCGCCGGGTTGGTGGCACAAGCACCCGTGCCGCGCCACTACTCGTCTACGAATGAGGTCTAGGCTGGGACACGTCGCCAGCCAGCCCTGGACGCCTGCGAATCGTTGGGTAGGCAACCGAGCAGCGCAGCTATGCGCACTTTTGCCTACCTCGCGATTTGCAGGCGTTTCAATCCAATGGCAGGTATATCTTTAACCGGCATTGTCCCTCTCGACCAAGAAGTGATTTTGGTCTCACGGAGCATGGAAACCTACAACGCCTCGTCTAGAATTATTGCCAGGCTAGGACTAGTTACACGTCGACGACGCCAGCCAGCCTGGAACGCCTGCGAATCGCTGGATAGGCAACCTAGCAATGCACCTCTGCGCACGTTTGCCTACCGCTCCAATTGAAGGCGCTTTGGAAGCCAGAGGGTTGAGAGCTGTCACTGTTCTTGCCTACTAATTCTGACTTTGCTTCAGGAGTTGGAGCACCTGCAGGGCCTGACACCGCGTGAGAAGAGGGCCGTCAACGCTCTCCTCGGCGGATCGGTGAGCAGCGGGTGGTGGCTGGTGTGGTACCATGGGGAGATGGTGGCAATATGATAGTTTGATTGTCCCATCATTTTATTTTTTTCCAGGGTGGCGGCGGCGGCAGCTTCCTCAACGAGCTCAACAAGGGGCCGACATACTCGCAGCTGCTCGGCCAGAGCGGGGGCGGCAAGCTGGGCATCTTGAGCGGGCTCCTGGGCAGCTCCAGCGGCGGCGGGGTGAGTCCACGAGACAGACAGACAGACAGACAGACAGACAGACAGACAGACAGACAGACAGACAGACAGACAGACAGACAGACAGACAGACAGACA